TTTTAGAGGTCTTTTTTAAAATGAAAAATTATGGGATATGAATGATTTTTTTTCAAATATATGTAAAAGTAACATGTATATTGCGCTCTTGCTGGAGCATAAGTTGTACAGTGCGCTCTTGCTGGAGCATAAGTTGTACAGTTCCTCCATCGACCAAAACACTAACTTGGGCACATTTTTTTAGTTTTAAATTTTGGGAACCACCAAGAATTACTAGATAATTATATTCAAAAGACAAAAAATTGAATTTTGAGCTTTCTATTACTGAAATCTCACCTTTTAAAAATTGGACGGTTTTTATTCAATCTTGAGGCTTTTTTTTTTTAATAAGCCCAAGGAAAACACGATTTGAAAATATCTTTTATTAAGTATAACAATGGGTTTAAGTCCCTTGAATTTGTTTCCTAAATTTTACCCGTGGGAGTAAATGGATAGTAAGCTCACTCTAGAGCACAAACTCAAAATTTTACTCCCTCTATCCAAATTTTATCCGAGGGAGTAAATTGGTAGTACGCTCACTCTAGAGCACAAAATCACATTGCTTTTACTCCCTCTATCAAATTTTTACCCGAGTAAATAGATAGTAAGCTCACAAAATCATATTGCTTTTACTCCCTCCATCACTAGAGCACAAAATCATATTGCTTTTACTCCCTCTATCACTAGAGCACAAAATCATATTGCTTTTACTCCCTCTATCACTAGAGCACAAAATCATATTGCTTTTACTCCCTCTATCACTAGAGCACAAAATCATATTGCTTTTACTCCCTCTATCCAAAATTTTCCCGACGAGTAAATAGATAGTAAGCTCACAAAATCACATTGCTTTTACTCCCTCTATCAAAATTTTACCTAAGGAGTAAATAGTAAACTCACTCTAGAGCAGTGTTTACAAAATCGAACCAGAACGGTTAACCGGACATGGGCCCAGAAGCAGTTTAACCATCCTAACCGGTAAATTGACTGATTCAACCGATCCAACAGGACAAGTCCATGGCGGTCAAAAAAGTGTTGAAAAAAAATACAAAAAAAAATCTACTAAAATATGAAAAGCATAAAAAAAATGATTAAGACAAAACACATTCAAATGAAGTTGAAAACTAATGAAAAAAAGATTTTAACCCATTTTATATTTTCTAAGGGCTATTTTTAAAGGGCGTGGTTTGCATAGAGCCTAGGCTCTAAACAATCAAATTAGAGCCTACCTTCAAATAGTGTTGAGAAATGTGGTTTCACTACTGAAAATCAATGATAGCCTTAAAATATATTTTCATATTTATTTATAAAGTTTATAGCTTAAAAAATGTGTAGATCAACAGATCTATGAAAACTTGAAAATCTTGAAACTTGATGGTCCAAAAACGCGTTACAAAATACACTATTTCCAAAACTTGAAATCCATTTTTTTTTCATGTTTTAGGGAAAAGTTTATATACAGCCGAGGCTCCAAACAATTAAATTTGAGCCTACCTCAAAAATTTCACTAGAAGAGGTTGTTTTGATGCCCAAATATCTTCAAAATTGATCATCTCTACACCAAGAAGCATGGACATGAGAAAAAAAGTGGATTTCAAGTTTTAGAAACAGTGTATTTTGTAACGCATTTTTGGACCGTCAATTTTCAAGATTTTCAAGTTTTCATAGTTGTATCGATATACACTATTTTTGAAGCTTTAAATTTTATAAATAAATATAAAAATATATTTTAAGGCTAGTACAAAAATTTTCAATATTGAAACCACATTTCTCGACACTATTTGAAGGTAGGCTATAATTTGATTGTTTAGAGCCTAGGCTGTATACAAACCGTGTCCTTTTTAAAATATTCTAAAAAAGATGGGAAATTATAAAAGTGAGTATTAATGACCAAAACAAATCATTACCATAATGTAAATAATATTTAAAAATGCACTATAAATCAAATTCCTTTTTTTTGAGAATTTATATACATTTTTTTGAATTTTTTTTAATAAAATACCGGTTGATCACCATAACTACCCAAAACTGGAACCGATCACTGGCCGGTTCCGATCTAATCAGGCGATTAGCGGTTAGATCGGGCGATTTTGCGAACAATGCTCTAGACCACAAAATCATCAAGTGCTAACCAATTAGCATATGCAATCCAATGTTTGAAACAGTTAATAAAAGAGACATTTTAAAATCCGACGGTTTACAATCCGAATAGCTTATATGGATGTAGAATCGGACGGGACCGATCCGGTTTTGGAATTGTATGGAACTTGGCATGATTCTCCCCCTAAAACCTCCATTTTTTTTAATTATATCTAATTTTGTTTGTAGTCCCCCTAACTCTCCACCTCATAAATCTTTATTTTGTTTATTTATTAAATTTTTTGATGTCCGGTCCATGTGATTCGAGAATGATTCAGATTTGTTGATCCAGCTGACCTGGATCGAGATTGAGGGTGAACGGTCCGCCCCCACCAATCGTTTTTTCAAGGGTGAGGTTTGTATAAGGTTGCCTCCTTATTATGTAGAATCGTTTTTTCAAGGGTGAGGTTTGTATAAGGTTGCCTCCTTATTATGTAGAAGTAAGGTGCACCTATAAAATTTACTTAGAAATGTCGTTTCTATGTAAAAAACCTTATGATGGTTTCAAAATCGCATTTTATCCTCAGTTATAAGATGTAAATTTTCAAAAATAGTACATATGGAGTGGATAAAGAAACACTTGAAAATCTTAAAAATAGACAGTCCAAATAGCTTGTTGCAAGATGCATTATTTTTGGACTTGAAATTATTATTTTTCTTCATGTCCATTCATCTCAAGGCTGAGATGATTGAGGGTTCTCTACGCTAGAACACTCCCCAGTATAGGGTTTTTGAGGTGCACCATACTTCAACAGTATAAGGTTGCAACCTTATATCTACTTTTTCCTTTTTTTCAAGGGTGTGGTTTCTATAAGGTTGGAACCTTAAACAATCCAATTAAGGCCTGCCTCCAAATTTTATTCTAACATGTAATTTTGGTAAAAAACATTCTTAGGATTTTTTGAAAATTTATTTTTACATCTAATTATAAAAATTTAAACTCCAGAAATGTTTAAAATCAAGTAGATCTATAAGCATATGAAAATATTGAAAATGGATGGTCTAAATAATGTGTTACAAGATACACTATTTTTGGGATTAAAAAACTTTTTTTTTTTCATATTCATACATCTCAATATCGAGATAATTAATTAAAGGCTTTTTCAACGTTAAAACAACCTTCTATAATGGATTTTTAAAGCTCCTATGTAATTCTACATTTTAAGGTTGCAACCTTCTATAAAATATTTCCTTTTTTCAAACATGGGGTAAAAGTAAAAGACAGACGACAAAATCAAGCATTCAATATGGAAATGGAAATGGAAATCTGGGGTGTGTAAGATGGTGGATGAGCTTTTTGACTCCTTTTCAATGCATCTTCAATCCTTGTTAATGACTTGAAGGTCAAATGCTGTCAAAAGTGTCAGTCGAATCCGGAACTCGGTTCTCCGCAACAAATTGCACACTCTTTAAGACAAGTCTCTCTCCCAATTAAAAAAGATGTTTTCAAACTTCTTAAGAATCTCTATTAACAAGTCTCCTCTCTCTCTCTCCAAGAACAAGTTTCTCTCTCTCTCTCTCTCCCCATCTGATCGGGCAATGATCATTAATGCTCATGAAACGACTTAAATTGGATATATATATGTGAAGGCTGACGTCCACCGTCCATCAACCTCACTCATGGACGGCTCAGATCACCCTTCTCATCAACTTACGACAGAAGCCCTTACAATATCGGCATAAATCAGGGCCGTTAACGGGCCAAGCCGGGACTAGTTTTGGGAGGCATGTTAAGACCATGGGCCAGGATTGGTAGCCCCAAAATATGTTTGGCCCAGGTGGGCCCATACAGAGATTTTACTAAGTACATATGACAATAAATATTGTTTTCGTATACCCAGTCTGATTCCTTTATGGGCCCGAGTTAGGCCCAAGACGTATTCTTTTTAGGCCTAGGCCAGGATAGGGCCTAGCCTACATTGTTTCGGGTCGAGATTAAGCCAAGGATACAAATGTCAAACCCGACCGGTTAACAACCCTAGACTTGGGGTCTTCTTTTAGGCCTTGGGGACTAGCCTCAAGGGCCGCGAAGACCCTGTTATCCAGCTACACAGGTTAATGGGCATGGGATATTGGGGCCCTACCGTTATATTGCTCCTTTATGGTGGCTTGAAGTTCACATGAGCAGTCGGATATAGTTTCTTTTTTCACTTCATGTTAGTTTTTCAGTTTGATTATTTCCTACTTTCCTCTCTCACTCACTCATTGCTCCTATGACCTATCTTCTGTCCCCCTTTTTTTTTGTTTTTTTTGTTGCTGATTGTGTTGCGCCACCGTGTTGTTCTTGTTATTCTCTTGGGCGCCGTTTTAGTGTAGGTAGTCGTCATGTCTTATTTTCTTGTGCACCGACCTAACTAACCGTGGCATGTGATTCAGGATTGGAGGGAATGTGGTTATGGAGTATCCGTTTGAGGTTGTAGATGCGGGAGTTGAGTTTTCGGAGGGGATATCTTTGGAAGGAAGTGGTGTGTGTAGTTTAGGTGAGGTCTTAGGCGGTAGGTAGGTAGGTGGTATAGGAGCCTTTGGGGGTGAAGGTATAGGTTGTGTTTGGATGTCTTGAGGGCTTCTTCCTCTCTTTCCTATTGTCCCTGCTCCCAAAAATATTTACTTAACGTTAAAAAAGAAAAAAAAATAAAAAGAAAAAAAAAATACCGTATTAATGCCAAAAAGATTTGCCTAGATATAAAAGTGGGCAACCCTCGTCACCCAATGTCCATGAACAAACAAATAATTGGTTGACGCTTGACGATTTGCAACACTATGTTCTAGACTCAATTCTTATTAGGGTAATGGCCCTCTCCCCACTGACTCTTCCAAAAGAAAAAAAAAAAAACAACAGACAAATACAGATAGAATATTTTCCCACTAACCCCAATAAGATATATATCGATGAATTCTTCCTTTAAACTTCATATTTACAATTAAATACAAGAAAATTGTAATTAGTTGAATTTAATTACAAGATGGAATGATTACTCACAATTTGTATTACAATAATGACTACATTTTATTGGAAGCTTAATTATTAATAACCCAGCCATGAAGATGGCAATGGCTGAAACCTATACCTGGCAGATGCTAATACATCATGATATTCCAAACTATTGAAACAGTCTCTAAAATCAGTTAAAAGCCTTTCAAAGATCCTCCACCTCACTCTTTGAGATTTGGCAAAGGGGAAGTGAGAAAATGCCTGCTGGAATACAGGGTTAAAAAACATGAGGAAGTTAGTTCTGATAATGATTAAAAAAATATGAGGAAGTTAGTTCTGATAATGATTAAAAAAATATTATATTCAATAATTAAAAATGGCAAGTGAGAATGGATATGGAGCTAGACAATTCCAGGCTGAAAAAACCTGAAATCACCTGAGTCCCCTATTTTTGGTTATATGTGTGTGTGTCTATATATATATATATATATAAAAAGGGATTGTCTGCAAAGAGACTATTTATCTTTTGTACATGGAGGTAATAATCATTTTTGTCCCTTAAATTACAAAGTGGGTGGTTGTAAACGTGTCAGAATAAACACAAAGTTCCTAAAAAAAATTCTCGAACTTTGTAACTTATTTTAAGCCATCCACTTTGACATCTAATTAGTGAGAATGATGGTGACCTCCATGTACAAAAGGTAAATGGTCTCTTTGTAGACAATCCCATATATATATATATATATATATATATATATATATATACACACACACACTACTACTAATTAACTTACGTTACTACGTACTACTACGTACGTACGTACCGTACGTACGGTACGGACGACGACTACGTACGTCGTCGTCGTACGTACGGTTACGGTTGGTTGTGTAGTACGT